ATTTGTGGAATAAATGTATTCTTGCTGACTAATGTATATTACATTTCTACAGCGGTATCGATAACCAAAAACATTTGTTTTTGCATGATGCTGCATCCACACCACTAGGTGTCAGTATAAGTCAAAAATGCCTGGTGTATCAAACAGTGCAACAAACAAAACAAAGTTACTGATACGTCTTTAGAACAAAATTACTAGTAGTTATTTTTCTTCGTTTAGCTGTGAGAATTAGAGGTCAGTAGTTGGGCTAGTACTCTCCATTCGACATGCCAGAGGGACAAATGGCTGGAATTTATTTCTAGCTTGTCTTAACAGGCAGACAACAGTCAGATATGTGTGACAGAGCTGAATCGCGTACTGTGTCTAATAGCATGCTTGGAGGGCGTTGTGTTTTACAAGCTTTCTTCTATTTAAACTACATTTTACGAACTGCGTCGGAAAGTGCGTGGCTCCAACAAACAAGTTTAATGGTCTTGAAGTCTAGTTCTTGAAGAAAGGAGGAGAGTTATAACCAAGGTTGTTTACAGAGCATCAAAGAGCTTTCTGGATAAAAAAAATGTGTTACTGACTAGTTAATGTGTGAAAAATGAAATGGCTCAAAGCAGATTCAGTGAGTGTTGAAGTGGGATATAAACAGACAGATAGTGCTTAATACTCTCCACTGCTATCTGCCGTGATCCAGAGCACTGGGCTTTGACATTTGAGCCATCCCAAAATAAACAAGGGGTGAAAGTTCACCAACACCGACACATACAGTACTCAAACACACACAAATACACTAGTTCTCTTCTGAAACCACACATGTTGATGAGCTCTTTGACACATATGCTTGCAAACACAGGCACATGTGGCTGGCTGACATGCCCACACAGGCACATGTCTGAGCTGCCCTGAACACACACATGCCAGAAACACACGCTACAGACAGCACAACATGCCTGTGGCCATTTGTTTCTGTAAATGCAATAAACCACATTTTGTCACAAGACATGGAGAGAGAACAAGATGACAGAAGGGAAGTGCATGAACAAGCTGTTATTTGTCTGTCTTTTCTATTCTCTCTCTCCCTCTCAGAGGGTTCATGGGCCTCAGTGCATTATCCCACATTTTCTCTTCCTATCGTCTTTCCCTCTGCAGGGGTCATGGGTATAGTAAATCACTCTATATTTGAACTTTAACCTCACTTCCTGTTCCCCCTCTGTTCCTCTCCCTCCAGACAGTGTTGTGCTCTCAGAGAATATGAGCAGGGACGAGCTTAAAGGGACAGTTCACACAAAAATCTAAATTCTCTTTAATTTCTTACACTCTTGTTCTTTTAATTCTATTTGATTGTTTAAGGCAAAATATGTGGTTTGTTGAACAGGCAATGAAGCTTTCAAGCTTCCAGAATGATGCAAAAGCACCATAAAAGTGGTTCATTTGGTTCTTACAGTATATTTCAAGTCTTCTGTAGCTTTGTGTGAGGAACAGACTGACATGTATGTTATTTTAAGTTGTTTTTTTTGGAATAAATTGCTAATTTAGTTAGGGGAAAAACATCTGAATGAATCGTTCATTAACCAGACTGATTCAGTTCTAAAAGTTGCGATGTAACGGAAGTAATGACAGATCTTTTCTTTCATTTTGTGACATACATCAGAGTGAAACAGATTGAAAAATGAAAAAAAAAATGTAGCATGGGGAATTTTTTTATCCATCGGTTGTTGATTAGATGGAGGCGGATGTAAATGCAGGTTTTTGGTCAACTGTAAGGAAGAGGCGGGGTTTATGCAGACTCAATTATTGGAGAAATTCTGTCATTCCACCAAAAGATTTAGATATGACATTTTGATTAAAAATTATAAAAAATATAAATAAATAAATAAATAATACATAAAAGTCCATCCATGGATTAATCGTTCAATATAATGCGTTTAGAAAATAGATAGGGTGAATACTAAAGGAGAAGATTTTCAATGAATAAATATTTAAATTTCAATCTCTTTTTCACTCAAAACATATGAATTCAGAAGACGTATAGAAAAGATATTGCACAAGCCAATTTTTTATACTTTTATGATGCACTTTTACATCAGTTTAGAAGATTAAATGATTTCGTCTGCATTCACAACTGCATGAAAAAAATCAACTACATTCATCAAAATTTTCCCTGTTTTGTTCCAAAGAAGACAGAAAGTTATGCGGGTTTGAAGCAACATGAGGGTAATTATGTGATAACAGTATTTTCATTTTTTCCACTGTTGCCTGTTTGCATTCGGTCTTTTGTCTGAGGTTAACCTAAAAGTCTCCAGGAGGGTTTAATCTTCATAACCCATCTCTGTTTAGTCTTCATAACCCAGAATAAAATCGCAATTTTATGTACAATTAAATAGAAGGATGAACACATCTGCTTGACTGAATTAAATGATCACTACTTGGAGACTGAACTGTAGAGGTACTCTAAAACATCTAAGAAAAACACCATCTAGAATCGCACGTTATAAAGAACTGCATTTTGGAAAGGACAAAATAGTACATTCAAGATGGAGATCAAAAACTAAGAAAGTTTTGAAAGATCCTGTAACTGGAGAGGAGGGAATGATGACCCATTTCTCTGAAAATATCATCATGACGTTGCTGTGAATCTCCCTCTTCTCTCCTCTTATTTTCTCTTTTCTCCCCCTTTTCAAAGCCCCTCAAACCCCCATCCCATACCCCTCACCCACCCTGGCTCTCTTTTTCTCTCCTCCCCCTGTCCCCGTTTTGAGTGTCACACATAACTCAACACACACCCACACACTGAAGAAATATATAGCAACTTATGAATGCATCAGACAGAAATAGTATATGAGAAGAACTGCAGAACTCATCAATGCACTGTGATCTAACCTGACACAAACACATGAAAAAATAAAGAAGGATAGAGAAAAAGGACACAACAGACTCACCTCTAACTTTTTCAGGGAAAGTTTCCTTTTAGTTCACACTTTTTCTTTTCTGAAGTAACAGACCACCCCTTTTCTGCTGGCTTTTCCACTTCTACGACCACCATATGGTTATGGTGTGTTCTGGACACACTCTTTCCAGAAATAGTATATGAGAAGAACTGCAGAACTCATCAATGCACTGTGATCTAACCTGACACAAACACATGAAAAAATAAAGAAGGATAGAGAAAAAGGACACAACAGACTCACCTCTAACTTTTTCAGGGAAAGTTTCCTTTTAGTTCACACTTTTTCTTTTCTGAAGTAACAGACCACCCCTTTTCTGCTGGCTTTTCCACTTCTACGACCACCATATGGTTATGGTGTGTTCTGGACACACTCTTTCTTCTCCTCTCTGTCTTTGACCCCGCTGTCAGTGTTTAATGAGGTGGCTTCCTGTCACTTTCTTTCTCTCCTCTCCTCTCCGCTCCTCTCCTCCCTCTCTCCAGATCCCCCTCTTTCCGAAGCAGCTGCAGGCGACCAAACTTTTCGCTCTGTGGATCATACTACATGACAACACTCCTCCCTCTCCCTCTCTCTTTCTCTTTCTCCCTCTCCCTCTCATTTATACACAGAGTTGCTCCTCACAGTAAAGTGGGAATGAAGTGGATTCAGTCCAGACAATTAGTTTGGATGTGTTTCATTCAAGAATAACCCTACAAAGAGAGACAGATACCTGTTGCACACTTTTTTACTTACACAACCTAATTAAAGATTTCATAGTAACAGAAGTAAGGTTAAGATAAGGTCTCATTTTGTTAACATTAGATAATGCATTACTGTAACATGAACTAACAATTAGCAATACATTTTTACAGCATTTATTAAGCTGTTACTTAAAAATGTTCATGTTCATGTTAATTCAGTAACTAATGTTAACAGATACAACTTTCGATTTTAAGAATGTATTTGTAAATGCTGAGATTAACATTACCTAAGATTAATAAATGCTGCCGAACTATTGTTCTTTCATTATTCGTATTAACTAATGTTAACAGATGAAACCTTATTGTAAAGTGTTGCATATTTCATATTCTGTGAATTATTGTCTTTTGTATAACCACTACATTTATTACTATCACAACTTCAAAACCTCACCTCAAAAATGCTTAATCTCACAATACCCATGGTCTCAGGAGGTCCACACAACAGCTGCCTGCACTGGCACGTCCAGTGGTTCTTAGGGAGGAAACGGGAGGGGAGGTGAGAGAAGACCCTCAGATTGTGTTGAACAAAGCTCTGTGACTCAGTATTACAAATATGGCAGCTGTTGTACACACTGACAAGAGCCCATCCCAAATATCTCTGCATGCATGGTTCAGTTATATTTTTATAATCTCAGGAATAGTAATAGCATTTTAAGAATTAATAATGAACCATCTCTGTTCTCTCTCTGTGCTATTTTTAAAGACAATGTGGTCATAATCGGGGTCAAATATCTTTACCCTCACCACTTTCCACAGAATCACATAATAACCTCTTTCCAATATTTTACATATTTACTGTATTACATTTAGCTGCTAGAAAAAAATACAACACATAAAAATATCTAAAAAATAAGTTATATGAAAAACATACAGTATTCTTACATTTCAAATAAATAGACAAAAATACATATAAGTTCAAATAAAGTTTAGAAATATCATAAAAGCCTTCCAGTGATTTGATTCTTGCTTTTAAAGGTCCAAAACCTGTCCGTATATACAAATAGCTACAAAAGTATACAGCTCTTGATGAACCAAGCAAAACTGTTGAAATCTCAAACTACTAATATAAAGTAGCCTACTAGGCCTACTACTCCAAATGTACAATTTAATTTGGAAATGTACAACTTAGAAAAAAAAGGAGCGAATTAAATTAATAACAAATCCAAATATCTACCAAGAAAAAAATCTTCTCCTTTTAGTTTTTTGGCGAGTTACGAAAAAAGATCACTTTTAAATGTTATGTTTATTATAACTGCACCACAGCTCTGTCTGCTTGAATTTTGTAAAGGCGCTATTAACGGACGCCTAAAGGTAGGTCCTACTCAGGATATAAACCGCCACACTGCGGGCGGAAGAGCCCTCAGTCTGTCGTGGAAGAAACTGATGCACTATGTGTGGGTAAGTGTACGTTTTTTGGTGTCATTGTTAAGCATGTAACGTATTTATTGTTTTACCAGGGATTTATGTCGTAATAATCATCATTGTAAGACTATTATAGGTTAATGCGTCTTTTAATTAAGCTGTTTAGTCAACCACGTGGCGCGCAGATGATGTACCTCGTGAGCATGTGGTGTACTTTGTTAATTTTTAAGAATGAGATTATTGCTTTTCAAATTGTTTTTAGTGTGCGTTCGCGGTGAGTAGTTCAAAACCTTTGTTCATGTTAGCCTAGGGCTGGACGATATGGCCAAATTTATGTCACAATATTTTTCTTAATTTCGGCCGATACGATACAATTCTTATATCGATATGAGCACTATTTATCTGAAATATTTATATTTTGTAACATTATAAATGCCTTTTATCATCACTTTTGATCAGTTTTAAGCATCCTTGCTAAATAAGTGTTCATTTCTATAATTTCTTTCCCCCCAAAAATAATAAATTATACTGACTCCAAGCCTTTGAATGGAATAGTGCATGTTACAAAAGCTTTTTATTTCAGGTAAATGCTGATTTTTGGATCTTTATATTCAAAGAATCCTGAAAAAAAATTTACTCTACTGTTTTAAATATTTTATAATCAGCAAATCAGTATATTAGAATGATTTCTGAAGGATCATGTGACACTGAAGACTGGAGTATTAATGCTGAAAATTTAGCTATGATCACAGGAGTAAATTACATTTTAAAGTCTATTCAAATATAAAGCAATTTTAAGTAATAAAAATTTCAAAATTGTACTGTTTTTGCTGTACTTTAGATCAAATAAATGCAGCCATGGTGAGAGAATTCTTAAAAAAAAAAAAAAAATGTAAATCTTACCGTTC